TTTGTAAATTGTAATAATGTATATACTTGTGTAATGTTCTTTAGATTCCTTCTTTGAAAGCTATGTTTAGATGGGAGGCATTTCACTGATGGTTTTGACAGATACATTGATATCTCACAAATCAAGAAGTTAGGAGGTTCAGTTTTTATATTCTGGCTTGTCTGTATCTATAGTTTGTGTTTCAGTTTTGTCAGACACTCTAAAACCCGTAATAGGGAAAAAAGAACATCTATAATGTAGAATTCAGAGCACAGATGCATCATGTGACACAGAGAAATGAAAATTGAAAATTGTTTTGAATATTCCTTCTAAGATTAAAAAATTTAAGTTTGGATAATATAAAAATATGAACTATAAACTATATTTTGATGCCAAGTTCATTGAAACATTGAAATGAAGTTGTTTTTAATTTTGAATGTAACTTAAAGGTTGTGACATGCACACTTTGACTTGGCTGAGCTCATAAGATTGACTTGTTTTTAACAGAAAGTCATGTAGCAAAATTTTCATTTAAAGTAAGTCAGTGTTACAACTCTCCCCACGTGTGTTGATGATATTGTTTATCATCCATTCAGGAAATCCTATACCATTAATGTTTTAAAAGTCCAGCTTCAACACTTTAGTGAAATGTACCAGAAAGGTACATTTATTATATTTTACTTACCTAGAAGCTCTAGATAAGCTTGTTAAAAAAGGTTGTTGTTACTAACAGATTTGATTTTTATTGACAGTTCTTGATTGACTGAAATTTTGCAGCAATTAATGTAGGAAGGTTTAGATGAACAGAGGTAATTATTAATAAGAATTTCTGAGTAAAAGTAAAGAAGAGTGTATAAATTATAAGTCAACCATGCTATAACTGTTGTATCCAGTGTTGACGAGGCCTTCTCCCTATAACAGGGTTCTTCAGGCCAAGTGGGATACTACAGGTATAACAGTAGTTGACACATTTTGTGCTAGCAAATTTCTTAACAAAAACTCTTATAATGTGAACTGGATTAAGTTGTAGAAGTGTAATTTTTATCAATTTGATTTATGTCACAATACATAAGGGTATTTTAACACTATATTACTTACTTATTTTAACATCATATATGAATTAATGGTTTCTATTCTATATCTCATTTGAATCATTTCTGTCTTTATCAGTACTCTTAAACATGTAAGTTGTCACCAGTGGTCATTATCTTGAAACTCTGAACCTATTGCACATTTCTGTCGATCTAAACAGTATATTCTGGTCATAAACTGTTTGTTAAACGTTCATATTTTAACATATATTTGTATGATGGACATAAAGGTGTTCTTTTGTCTTTTTGGAATAGTAGTGTTCATGTTTGAGCTCCTTCGTAAGAGTTTTAAGTATCATTGTGTGCAGATCTACTGAACACGTATTTATATGTCATCCAGACTAGAAAAATCTCTGTTACGAGTTTGAAATTATTTTATTGTAAGAGCTGATAGACTATAAATCTTGTTTTCTTTTTTAAAGAAAAAAGTTAGAGGAGGAGAACTTTTTAATAAAGTTTGCAGTCATTTGGATCTTCTTGAAAAGGATTATTTTGGCCTTTCCTACAGAGACCATGATGAAGCAAGAGTAAGTTATTTAAACATTTTTATAAGATTATTTATATACATCTTAATAATTCAAGTGATTTGCTGTAGTGGACAGTATCACATATTTAGATGTGGCTCTTAGAATGGCTCTTCTAGCTCTTCACCAGTTTGAGATCTAATTACAGTTTCGGACTCGGGAGGTTAAACCCTTTCGATTGATGTATTTGACCATGCCCAAGATCTCGTAGATTAATTTACTCAAATCCTGCCTAATAGAATTTCAATTAGAGGGTAGGCTAGTAGAGATGTTGATGAGTAATATAATCGATTCTGGCATACACATGCCCCACGCTTGGCTATTGCTGGTACACAAAAATGTAGCTAATAAAAAGGAAAAAAAAAAGGCTCATACATTAATTTACTCTAATCCTGCCTAAAATAATTTGAAGTACTGGCTATTGAGGATTCCCTCTTGTTTACTATGAAACAGAAAAGTATGATACCCTATAACTCGAGCACTTTCAAAGGGTGGACCTTTCTTCTTCAGGGCAAACAGTTATAGGGTTTTTATTGTTCTATAACCAACTTGTTGAACCTGCATGTTTCTTAACAGCATGAACACTTTTTTACAATAGGTAGTACATATAAAATATTTGATTTTTTAAAATTTGATGAAGTCAGTTGAAATAATTTACTTAACAATACTTCAAAATTAGTATATACTTTTAATGTTGATTCTTTTTTTTTTTTAATTTACAGAATTGGTTACATTTTGACAAAGGAATAATCAAGCAACTGAAAAGTAAGTGTACAACAATTTTGCATCGTATTCCTATTTTCTACAGTATATGAATATGGCATAATTTGATTGTCTGGAATGTTGATGATGTTAAAAAAAGTTGATCACGTGTGTTTTATTTATTGTTGGGATTATTATTTGCTTGACATAGTGAGAGACTTTTAATAAAGGTGTTTTTTAGTCCCAAAATTAGGAAAATTTGTAACATTTTTTCAAGAACATAGCTTTCAAATATCTTTTGTCAATAATGTTCAGAACTTGTTTACATAAATTCATGTATGTTTATATGTATGTACACACACACACAACATGCATTTATACGTGTGAGTTGTAAAATTGTTTTTAAACCTTAAATATGTATTAATAATAATTTCTGCTTCAAAAATGAAATTCCCACCTACCAGTGGTCATGTGTTGTATATTACTTTGTGCACCCTCATTGTGGATGAGGCTACATGAGACCAACAATTCATTGCCTTTCTGCAATTATAAACGAACATGTGAAACCTCATGTAGTAAATTTCTGTCACATCTATCAACATTATATGAGAAATGGAGATGAATGTTTTACATGTTTCCTTATTGGAGAGTCTGTACAGTGCCCCCAATGCCTGGATGCATATTTAAAAACTAACTATCCAGTGATTCTATGATGAACTCACAATTAATGAGTCTGCTGTTCATCTCCTCGGTATGTTATTTTACATTTGGAAAACGGTAAGCTAAAACTGATTAATTCATTGAACATTCCACTGTTACAGACCAGCCGTTGATCTTTTCATTTGAGGTCAAGTTTTACCCACCAGATCCAGCACAACTTCAGGAAGATATCACTAGGTAATGTTAAACAAGTTGTTGCATTTCAGTTATTTGATACTTAAACTAAATATAAGTATGTTTATAAAGTAAGTTTACAAGACTTTTACTAACAACTTTTTATTTTTCAGTCTTGTAAAATGTTCCTGCACATGATGATAAAACAGACTTAAAAGATTAACAACCATTATTTACATAAACTTTTAAATCCACTTAGTAACCATCTGTATGTAACGTTTAGAGAAGCACATCTCTTAATTGTAATATCCAGTATCTCGAGTAACAAACGTATAAAGTAGTTGATAATATTAAGTTCGTTACAATGAAAAGTCCAGTGAAAATATATGAAATTAAAGAATGGCTTTTCAAGAGTTTTTTTTATTATTATTTAAATAGTATGTAGATTTACAAACAAAATCGTAAGTAGGAACAAAAACGTTTGAAGTAGAAGATAGTAAGCTGTTTTAAGGCAAGTTATAGACAAATCCTTTACTACACTTTTCTCAGCTGTACTTAGGATATTCCACTACATGATTCCTTTGGAACTTTGAACTTGATTGGTTGATCTCCACTAGATTGTATTTCAGGCTCACAATTCATTTATGATATTGAATACCTATAAAATGATAAATTACTTTACAAAGTGTGTTAAAACAGGGTAATTTCTAATACTAGTTATCCTCACCAACCACGGCAGTATGCTATCCTCAACAGTGGACAATGTTCAGGACAACACTGTATATGATGTATAAATGATTGTCATTGTTGAATAAACACATACGAACAGAAGAATGTTTAGCCTTCTGCTAAGTACTGTCTAGGTCAGAAATTGTAACCTAACAGTCAGCTGTCAGGAACATAACTAATCAATGTAATCAGAACTGTGGGAGACAATTTCAACAGCATTAGCTTATTCTGGCTTAGGTGTATGTTGTATAATCTCTAGTTGGATATACATAGATTGGTTTGTCTCCTTATATTCAGGGTTATGTAAACAATATACATTCTCTTGTTTCAGTACTGAACAGCAATGAAGTTTGTAAATATTAAAATATTGTTTAACAATATAGTTTAAACATTGCTACTGGAAGAATGAAAACAGCTTACGTACAAAAGTTTCTTAAAAGTAAATGAATTAGTTAATGAAGGATGTAATAAATGTACTTATGTTTTTAATGATTTTGATAACCTGAAAAAGACTTTTAGTGATCTGACTAGTTGGTCAATATTAATTTTTTGTTCTAAATAGTACGTGATCCATGCACTCTTTAAAATGAGAGAAGTGGGTTTTAAAAAGGATCTAAGTTAAATTTCTTTATATGCTTTTTAAGAGTAGCTTTGTTGGGTTCACTATTATATAACTGTGTTCCAAGTTTAAAATATGCATTACTATCAATCAACATACAATATTATGTCTTAAAATTTTGCATTCAATTCTTGTATATGTGTGGATGATTTTTTAATTCAAGCGTAAATCTTAGTCAACTATAAGTCTCAGAGTCATTTCAATGCTATAACTGCTATTGCTTTTTTAACCAAAAATAACTCCTGTGGTGGAATTTTGAAATTAACTAATCAGTATTTAAAAATATAGACAAAACAATGTTTACATTACATAATAAAATTAAAAATGACTACATGTTTCAGTAGCTTCTGCTACCATCATTGGAGTAAAAATCTACGCGAACAGCAGTTTTTTTTTATACAAGAATGGTTGGACTCACTGTTCCCGTGGATTTTTACTTCTGATGATGGTATCAGAAGCTACGGAAACATGTAGTCATTTCTAATTTTTTAAAATTTATTATGTAATGTAAACGTTGTTTTGTCTATATTTTTAAATAAAGTTTATTGCACAAGGTTGCCCTATTTATATTTTACATTCTAACTAATCAGTGTGTGTTTGAATAGTCATTATTATAATGTAACTTGTTTTTTGTTTTCCTTAATTGTGTATCATTTAGAAAATATTAAATTTTTATATTTATTCATTAAAAATGAGCAGCTAACAAGTTTACCATAGTATTAATGAGCATGGCAGTCTGATGAGGTATGGCACATCAGGTTTTTTATGTATCGATGCTACCTGATGGCACCTGTTAAAAATACAATGACTAGTTTAACTGATGAGATGGGTTGTCCGTTATTAGTAGTATACTAATATACTGTAGTATACTATAGTGTTATTGTTATCATACATGATTAATTCTAGAACATCATTATCTGTGAAGTAGTTTTATGCTTTTATTACATGACACTCATTTTGACTTGACAAAGAAAGGAACAGTAACCCCACAAATCATAAGAAATAACTTGTTCCTTCATGAAGCATCAGTAAATTGATTGACTTTGTTATTTATAAATTGAATGGGTATTTATTGCAAACATTTAGGTACTTGAAATGACATGTAAAAATAATGTAACTCACTGTACTGCATCTTACTATAAGTATCTTGTAAATCTGTCACTCAACACAAGGGAACCTTATTTTTTCATGTGATATGTATAGTATCATATTGCATACTAATGTAGAGGAGACTAAGGACTTGTAACAGATATATGATAAGAATTGTAATGTAGGTTACAAATTATGTGAGTTAGAGTACTTGAGATTCAAGTATGTGTTTCTGTGTTTACATGAATAAGCTGACTGTATTATTCTGTGTTTTAATATATATATATATATATATATATATTGTGAAACTTTTGCCATTGAAAAACAAAACCCGTGCATGTAAAAGTAAAAGAAATATTTCCATTTAAAGGTAGTTTTGTGTAAAGGAACTAACGATTCACTCTCATATTATGATTTTATCTGATTGAAATAAAGAGTATTTAGGTGGAAATATTTATGTACATTTGGATGTTTGTGAAGAAACTGTTTATTGGATGTTTTGGCTTCTATTTAGACCAAGACACGATTGTGTGCACCTATAAACACTGTAAAAGAAAGCATGATTTTACTTCACTAATTAAAACTTGAGAGAGAATATATTTGAAAACATGTTTTGACAATGTTGGTTGTTTTTATACATTTTTATTTTACTTATTTTTTTAGATATCAGCTGTGCTTGCAAATTAAAAATGACATCCTCACTGGAAAGTAAGTATATGTTTGTAAAATACCAAATTTATGACAAAGCCAGGCTGCATTTTATGTAATGTTTCATATATATAGGTGTGTGTGTGTGTGTGTGTAACGCAATATGTATTGTGGGTTACATAATCCACATACATGTAATTTAGTGTTTTAAAATTATTAAATCAGTGATAGAAGGTCTTGTTTTTAGCTTTATCAGGTGTTCATTCCTTAATTTTACATTGCTTTAATATGACATTCAGTTTTTCGTTATGCATTATTATGATGGGAAAATTAAATGATTTTAGGTTTGCAGACTTTTAATATCCTCTTGTGAGCTGTTGCAGTAAAAAAAAATGCATGTTTGTTGTTATGCTCTTAATAAAATACATTCAAAATGTTTCTTAGTATTAAAGACGCTGGATTCTTTGGATAAGTACAACATGTCTCTACCACACAATCGACAAATACAACATGTCTTTGCCACACAATCCCAACATGGCCAGTTTTGATACCAGAAAAATCAAAAACTGTCTATATCACTGCTTGGGACCTGTAAGAAGTTTTCTTTGTACCAAATCCTGTGTAAGTTGGTCGACATACACATGAATAGTTCACAAAAACTCCAAATTGTACTTTCATCACTGAGCAGAAGACAGTAGTTTTAAAATTGTCTGTCTCTCTGTTTGTGATCTGTAAAAAGTACCTTTGTGCCAAATTCCATGTAAATTGGCTGAAATACTGCATAGTAATTGTCATAAAATCATACTTTTTGTGGTATCCTGATTCCGCTATAATTACTTAAAATCGGTAAGTCCAACATTTTTGTTTGTCAATTTGTTGCTTATAGAAAAGTACTTTTGTACCAAATTCCATGAAATTTGGTCAAAACAAGATTAAATAATTGACCAAAATTATGGGTTTATTTAACCTTTTGATACCTCCTAAAATGGGTATATCCAACTTTTTTGTATGTATGGGGCCTGTAAAAAATATCTTTGTACAAAATCCCATGTAAACTTGCTGAACTACAGTGACGTAATTGTCAAAGAACCTTAACATAAAAATTATGCTTTTTATGGCATCTTGACCACTGTAATTACTAAAGATGTGTAAGTCCATCATTTTTGTTTCTTGTTGAGTGGAACCTGTACCAAATTCCATCTAAATTAATCAAAATATGGTTGAGTAATTGACCAAAAGCCCCAAAATGATATTTTTTTGTGGGCTCTGAACCCCCTTCTAGAAAACTACTCAAAATGGACAAATCCAACTTTCTTGTATTGGGTGCATGAAAATTTATTTTTTATGCCAATTTTCATCTTGATTGCTGTAAATGTGACTGCACAGAAGCCCAAAATACATTTTTTGGATTGTTTTACCTTTGACCCCATAAAATCCTTAAAAAGGCATAAAAATAGAAAATGAAAAAAGTGTTTGGTTGTATTGAATTAAGGTATAACCCTACCAAGTTTCAAGTTAGTCTGCTGAGAAATGAAGGAATGGTGGTCAATTGAAAAGTGTTTCAAAGAAGAAGAAACAATAGAAAATGGTATTAATCTCTGCAGAGACAAAAAATGGGAGTATATGAGTAGGTCGGAACAATTATAGATTATTTATATATTAACATAATTTTTTTGTAATAAAAAGATTTAATTTTATTCCTTTCAGTTTCAGGTTCCTACTGGCTTAGTCAGAAGTAGCTCTTTTTGACTTTTTTACATTTCACTGTTTCTTTTCCATTTAGGCTGCCTTGTTCATTTGTCACTCATGCCTTGCTTGGATCCTACCTGGTTCAGTCTGAAATTGGAGATTATGACCTAGAAGAACATGGAACTGACTATTTGTCTAACTTTAGCTTTGCTCCCAATCAAACTTCTGAATTAGAGGAGAAAGTTATTGAATTGCATAAGCAACATAAGTACGTTTGATTTTTGATTTGCTTCTTTTGTTTTCATTAAAAATAATTTCTTTGCCAATAAAACAACAACTTCATGCAGTTTCTAAGTTACAGCTTATCTACTTCATAGTTGCATTAAATAGGTTTTTGATATAATATGTACCCTAACAACATGTGAGATATGTTAAGAGTTACACTAGGTTTTATTAGCTATGTATCTTAAATATTTGAAAATATATGGTGTGGATATATGGTATCATAATGTTGGAAAATATATGGTGTGGATATACGGCATCATAATGTTGGAAAATATATGGTGTGGATATATGGCATCATAATGTTGGAAAATATATGGTGTGAATATACGGCATCATAATGTTGGAAAATATATGGTGTGGATATATGGCATCATAATATTGGAAATATATGGTGTGGATATATGGCATCATAATATTGGAAATACATTGTGTGGATATATGGCATCATAATATTGGAAAATACATTGTGTGGATATATGGCATCATAATATTGGAAAATATATGATGTGGATATATGGCATCATAATGTTGGAAAATATATGGTGTGGATATATGGCATCATAATGTTGGAAAATATATGGTGTGGATATATGGCATCATAATATTGGAAAATACATTGTGTGGATATATGGCATCATAATATTGGAAAATATATGATGTGGATATATAGCATCATAATGTTGAAAAATATATGATGTGGATATATGGCATCATAATGTTGGAAAATATATCTGTTGGTATGTATTTTATATATATATATGGACACACACATACACACTTTCATACTCTGTATTACATTGTCAGACTTTGCATTTATCAACTGACAACTAATTCTGTACAGTACAATATAAGTGTGGTGTGTGTATCAATTTCACCAGTTAATGTGATGAAACACATAGTGCCTTGAAAAAGTATTTACCCCCTGCAAAGTTTCCACAATTTTTTGTCGTCTGAGCTTGCAATCATGAAACTTTCAAATAGGACTACATATTTAGAATCTACACAATCTATTCCAAACTGTGAAATCTAAAAAATGGCTGATATTATGTAAGTAATTTAGATTTTCAAAGAAAATTAGAATATTCTCAATTGCATATTGCAGTATTTAACCCCATTGCTACGGCAATCCTAAATCAGTTCAAGTGCAAAGATTAGTTTGAAATGTCACAAATTTAGTGTAATGGTCTCTGTTTGTG